CTTTCCCCGCCTCATGGGGGCACAGGGAGCAGTTCTGCTCTCTCTTTCCGCCCTGGTCTGGAGAAGGCTTCCCCTTTCCAGCCAGGGTGAGCATTTCACGTTCACACACACTGCTAGGCTGGTCGATTTCTGACCATGGTTTATTGTAGGTCTTTTTGCCTACAGACAGGCTTCATTCGGGGGTACTGCACCCCTTCAGTCTAAGGAATCGTGTGGCAGCAGTGCTTTTGAATGCATTGGTAAGTGGGGGGCATCTCACCCATGGGGTATATCTCAGACTTGGAGAGGTTCCCTTCCCCTCAGATGATTTAAACTTGCCCCTCTCCTCTGGGGTTTCCTTTGTGGTGACATCTGTCCTTGTAACTTGTGTCTTGTCACCAAGGGAGAAGGGGTGAGCTATTTGTTCTGTCACCACCACCTTCATCTGAATTTCTTATTGGCTGGCTACCCTGACTGGGGCTGCAGAAATGAACCTACAACTGTTTCTTCCATTTCTGGCTATTTAATAGGTTGAATTCGTGGGTTCAAAGAATATTCCAACAGCCTTAGGTATCACTGATTATGACATTTCTTTTTTTTAAAAGAGAGAGTGAGAGGGGACAGAGAGAGAGAGAGAGAGAGAGAGAGAGAGAGAGAGAGAGAGAGAACTTTTAAAATATTTATTCTTTAATCATCGGCGGACACAACATCTTTGTTTTGTATGTGGTGCTGAGGATCGAACTCGGGCTGCACGCATGCCAGGCGCTTGAGCCACATCCCCAGCCCCTGATTATGACATTTCTAACCACAGCAATTCGCAGCTTGCTAAGGAATGGATAAACCTTTATTCCTATCAAATTCCGGTAGCGGGGGAAATGTATCCATATCTTTTTTTTTTTTTTTTGGATAATACAGCTTTGAACAACAGGAGAGAAAGCCACCAGAGATAACAAAGCATTTTCTCATTCCAAAAATATAATGCCATTGTTGTTGGGGATACGAGGGCTGTAAATTTCTCAGTGGCTCCTGCAGAGCTCAGTGTCTGGGGAAGCAGCTTGGTCTTCCAGGAACTAGAATGTGGTCTTCCCCACATTATTACACTTAGTTTTTGGATCTTTGATTACTGTATGTATACACATCATATTAGTGTTTTCTGGGTCCTTGATTACTGTGTGTATATAAATTGCATTTGGGTTTTGGGTCCTTGATTTCTGTGTGTATATAAATCATGTTTGGGTTTTGGGCTTGTCGTTTCTGTGGGTTCATGTATTGTGGTGCAGGCTTCTTGAACTCAGATTGTCCTCAGATATTCTGGGAGATTGTGAAGTTTTGGTTGAGAATGTGGGCTTGGGTCTGACCTCTTACAGATGGGGTGACGGTGTGTGCTCTATACTTCTGCGTGCCTTGAGTGGTCCTGAGGCTTAGGGTTCAGCATGTTCCCTGGAATGTGTAGTTGGTGTGTGGTGGAACTGACTGCCATGGCCATTGATATGTGACATCCTTGCCACTGTCACCGGCTCTAGTACAGGCCTGCGGTGCCCCACTAGCACTGAGGACATAGATTATCCTGCAGAGGTGGTGACCAAGTCATGAGTGGGAGGCCCAGCAGGGAGACTGAGCCATAGCTGGAACTCTTAGAAGGATTGAGGTTACTCACTTCCTGAGCCAAGGGAAAGTGTGTCCCTCAGTCCAGGACATAAGGTTCATGAGCAGATGGAGGCAGAGACCGGAACTTACATCCCCTACAGAACTTTTGGCTGAAATCAGTTTCCGAATGTCTATGACCCTCCTGTTCTTATGCTGAAACCCAATCCCCTAAGTGGTAGTATGAAGAGGTGGGGCCTCTGGAGGTGATTAGGTGGGTAGAGCCCTCATGCATGGAATTAGTTCCCTTATAAAAGAGGCTGCAGAGTTCTTGCCCTTTCTACCATGTGACACACATTGAGAATGTGCCATCTATGAACTTGAAAGCAGGTCCTCGTCTGACACCAAATCTGCAGACTCCTTGATCATGGATGTCCCAGAGTCTGCAACAGTAAGCAGTAAATTCCTGTTGTTCAAGTGCCCAGTCTATGGCATCTTGTCAAAGCAACCCCAGTGCACTAGAATAGGCCCTAATCCTCAGTTTCTTTATGTGTAAAATAGGTGAATAATACTTCCCTATAATACACATAAAATAATTAGCTGTCAATCATGATAGTATTAGCTATATAAATTCTAGAGACGTCAACTCATCTACGTAACATCACTTGATCATTTGAATCTCAAAGGTTTTTCTTCCTGAGATGCAGTACTTGTTCATTTGAGCCACTTGAACTTGAATTATTTGAGTCTCATGACCTTTTTTTTTTTTTTCTTGCTGTCAGTTGACTCATTTGCACGAGTAATAAAGGAAGTAGGAGAGATACAGCAATTTTAGGAAGGCAGATGTTGGTAAGAGAGAAGGCGGAAGAGGTGCTGGGGGCTGTCCCCATGATGTGAAGAAGATGGGGTTCTGTGGACATGACATGGAGATCCCATCTTTGCACCCTATGAATGTCTGGGGCATTGGCTTCTATCTCCCACACCATCACTCTTCTGCTCCTTAGAGGTGCACTTTGTTTAGGGGATTAAGTGTAATCCTAAATCATCAGAGCTTATCCGGCCTTTCGGTTCCTTGTTTTTTCACTTTAGGCCCTTCCCAGGAGGCTGTACATGAGAGTTCACAGAGCTGGAGAGTGCACATGGAACAGTGTGAGGTCCTTGTACTCAGCACCTGCTTTAGTTCAGGAATTAGGCCCAGCCTCCAGCCATCTGGGCTCAAAGGGGCCTCAGCTTCCTGGCCCAGCCTCAGCTGCCTGACTTTGTGCATTTTTTATTGGTGACACCATTTCTGAGATGCTCAGCCCTCTCCAGAGACCCTGGGCAAAGACATCTCACTCCTCTTCCTTAGCTGTTTATCAAGTGTTCCTTGTCCTGTGCTGTGTGTTTCTGAGTCTCATGTTCCTTTCACCTGGGAGTTCTGAGGCATGCACAAGAAGGAGGCTGGGGTGAGCTGTTGCTTTGCTGTGTGTTGAACTTCTGGCCCTTCTCTGCCCCGTTATATATGTCCAGATCCACCATCCCCAGGTCCCAGAGCTTCAGTCTATAGAATGCCACTTGCCAGGCTCTGTTTTGCTCAATGCCAGGTACTGAGGATCTGGAGGTAGGCCTTGTGGGGCTGCCATCTCTTAGCCCACTGCATCAGGCTGGAGAGCCACATGCAATTGTGAAGGAGCCAACTGGGCACTCAGGGATGCGCCGTTTCAGATCAGCATGTG